AAACATACTCTATACTTCTTTTTACAAGAAAAATACTAATTTAATAAATTAACATATGTTCAGTATCAAAATCGAACAAAAAAATCAAGCAAACTCCACCAACTAATCGCGGAGTACCGTGGCCCAGTGTACGGGCCACGTAGGGGAGTTCAACATGCTCTACACTTAACGGAAGTCTTTATCCACTTGTTGTGTTTATTTCTTTGTTTATTGCAGGTGAAACGGTCCAAATTCCAATTTGGCGTAAAGGGCACTTTTGACTTTCGATAAAGCAACCGCGTCTTAAATTTATTTATTATATTAAAATTTGAAAGATACATATTTTAAAGAGAGTGGAAAAAAAGAAGAAGAGCTGAATGGATCAAGATTTCGGCCCATTAGCCCATTATATACTTTGATGGGGTGAATCTGATCCGATTACAAAGTGGGTCCAAATTGAATTGCTCTATGATAAATTTATTTCTATCTCTAAAAAAAATAATTTAATTAAATAAAATAATAATTAATAATCTACTTTAAGAATAAATAGCAATGTAAGAATATGATCAGAATTTCAATTCTCTAAATAATTTCATAAGGGGAACTTAACACTAACATTCCCATCTACAATGAACCATGAAGAACAAAGAGGTTCAAAATTGGAATTCAGAATCATCCCATTGGAGTACTGCAGAATCTATATTCTGCTCCCTCTTCAACTTGTCCTTCACAAACCAGTCACACACCCTCCCAGCATTCAGCTCCTCAATCGAACATCCTTCTTGCTCTGATATCACTTTCAGCAAATTCAAGGAAGATATCTATATATATATATATATATACACAAATTAGAAACAATCAAATCTCAAAACATGTTAGGAACATTTCTGAACAAGTATATACACAAGGAGAGAATTAATAGTACCGTTAATCGACACAGAAATCTCTCGTGAGTGTTTAAGCCAGAAATTTCAACCAAGCCAGCTTCTTCTAAACTCAAGAAACCTTTCCTCTCTGTTTTCCTCTCTCCATCTCCAGTACTACTACATACTTTTACCGTAAGTTTTCTTCTAATATACATGAACTTGCTTGGCGCAAAATGGGTTTGTGTATTTGTTTTCTTTACAAGTTTTGCTGAGTTTGACAGGAATAGTGTTTGAGGATAGCTGGTGGAAGGTGAGAATAAAATCATAATTTCAATGTACGTTTTTGGAGAACAAAATTGGAAGGACACAAGGGAGTAGGCAGTTTATTGTAGGGCTGCCTTTATGTGGCGGAGAAATACAGACGTGGATGGGATAATGTCTTTTGTATCCCAACATTGGATTCTGGTTCAATGGGCTTGCTTTCACAGCATGAGCCCATCATCTTTCCTGGAAAACTCTATATTAGCCCCTCAACTTTTCATTATTGGGCAAATACGCTTTCAAAGTTTAATTCTTTTCCATTTAGCCCTCAATCTAGAACAATCGAATACAAAACATAGAGAAAAATTAAAAAAAAAAAGTCTTAGCATCTGCATAAACTACACATTCTTATTCCATAAACATGATCATATATACATTCAAAAGACTTGTTACAATTTTGATGAAAAACTGGACAACTAGGAACCTCTCAGTTGTATTAATTTACAGGTCATGGAATTTCAAACTCAACTGAACCGACATGATCCTAGAGAAATCTTGTTTAATTAGGACCCCAACAGCTCAAGTACATGACAGTCCGGAGAGACTCCTCCGCCTGCTTGAGCCGATCATCCTTGGCGGCCTTGAATTCCCCTGAATTGGTTGGGCTGAAGAAACGCCTGGCCTGCTTTGAGGAAGAAGAAGACGCAGAGTTTTTGAGGGGCTCGCAGTACTTGACTGCTTGATCTTTCATTGCCTGCAGCAACCTGCTCATGTAGCTCGAATCAAGGATAGATATTTCGGAGATCACAGGTGAAAAATGAACGGTAGAGGCATGTGAAAGGGGGGTGGGGTTGCGTATATATAACGGAGGAAAGGAACACGGGTTTGATGAAATCAAGAGGCTGCGGGCGGAGACCGTCAAGGAAACTGGGGGCGGTAGGGTTTGATTCTGGGGATTAATGACACCTTTCAAAATATGGTCCGTGGATTACAGATGATTATGGATAAGGATGCATTGACATTTAAAAAAAAAAAAGAAAAAAAAAAAAGAGATAAAGACAAGACGACGCCAGGCCCACGTAGAAATATTTGTAATCTTCATTTTCAAGATAC